CCTTCTCAAGTGCTCATGGAACATTCTCCAGGATAGATCATATCTTGGATCACAAATCAAGCCTTGGTAAATTTAAGAAAATTGAAATTGTATCAAGTATCTTTTCTAACCACAACACTATCAGACTAGATATCAATTACAGGAAAAAATCTGTAAAAAGTACAAACACACGGAGGTTAAACAATACACTACTAAATAACCAAGAGATCACTGAAGAAATCAAAGAGGTAATCAAAAAATACCTAGAAACAAATGACAATGAAAACATGATGACCCAAAACCTATGGGATGCAGCAAAAGCAGTTCTAAGAGGGAAGTTTATAGCGAAACAATGCTACCTCAAGAAATAAGGAACATCTCAAAAAAACAACCTAGCCTTACACCTAAAGCAATTCAAGAAAGAAGAACAAAAAAACCCCCAAAGTTAGCAGAAGGAATCATAAAGATCAGATCAGAAACAAATGAAAAAGAAATGAAGGAAACAAGAGCAAAGATCAATAAAACTAAAAGCTGGTTCTTTGAGAAGATAAACAAAATAGATAAACCATTAGCCAGACTCATCAAGAAAATAAGGGAGAAGACTCAGATCAATAGAATCAGAAATGAAAAAGGAGAAGGAACAGCTGACACTGCAGAAATACAAAAAATCATGAGGGATTACTACAAGCAACTCTATGCCAATAAAATGGACAACCTGGAAGAAATGGACAAATTCTTAGAAAAGCACAACCTTCCAAGACTGAACCAGGAAGAAATAGAAAATATAAACAGACCAATCACAAGCACTGAAATTGAGACTGTAATTAAAAATCTTCCAACAAACGGAAGTACAGGACCAGACGGCTTCACAGGTGAACTCTATCAAACATTCAGAGAAGAGCTAACACCTAAACTTCTAAAACTCTTCCAAAATATAGCAGAAGGAGGAACACTCCCAAACTCATTCTACGAGGCCACCTTCACCCTGATACCAAAACCAGACAAAGATGTCACAAAAAAAGAAAACTACAGGCCAACATCACTAATGAACATAGATGCAAAAATCCTCAACAAAATACTAGCAAACAGAATCCAACAGCACATGAAAAGGGTCATACACCATGATCAAGTGGGGTTTATCCCAGGAATGCAAGGATTCTTCAATATATGCAAATCAATCAAAGTGATAAACCATATTAACAAACTGGAGGAGAAAAACCATATGATCATCTCAATAGATGCAGAGAAAGCTTTTGACAAAATTCAACACCGATTTATGATAAAAACCCTCCAGAAAGTAGGCATAGAGGGAACTTACCTCAACATAATAAAGGTCATATATGAGAAACCCACAGCCAACATCGTTCTCAATGGTGGAAAACTGAAACCATTTCCTCTAAGATCAGGAACAAAACAAAGTTGTCCACCCTCAGCACTATTATTCAACATAGTTTTGGAAGTTTTAGCCACAGCAATCAGAGAAGAAAAAGAAATAAAAGGAATCCAAATCGGAAAAGAAGAAGTAAAGCTGTCACTGTTTGCAGATGACATGATACTATACATAGAGAATCCTAAAGATGCTACCAGAAAACTACTAGAGCTAATCAATGAATTTGGTAAAGTAGCAGGATACAAAATTAATGCACAGAAATCTCTTGCCCTCCTATACGCTAATGATGAAAAATCTGAAAGACGCTGATGAAAGAAATTAAAGATGATACAAACAGATGGAGAGATATAACATGTTCTTGGGTTGGAAAAGTCAACACTGTGAAAGTGACTATACTACTCAAAGTAATTATAGATTCAATGCAATCCTTATCAAACTACCAATGGCATTTGTCACAGAACTAGAACAAGAAATTCTATGACATAAATCACAGCAAGATCCTTTTTGACCCACCTTCTAGAGAAATGGAAATAAAAACAAAAATAAACAAATGGGACATAATGAACATTAAAAGCTTTTGCACAGCAAAGGAAACCATAAACAAGACCAAAAGACAACCCTCAGAATGGGAGAAAATATTTTCAAACAAAGCAACTGACAAAGGATTAATCTCCAGAATATATGAGCAGCTCATGCAGCTCAATATCAAAGAGACAACAGAATCCAAAAATGGGCAGAAGACCTAAATAGACATTTCTCTAAAGAAGATATACAGATTGCTAACAAACACATGAAAGGATGCTCAACATCACTATTCATTAGAGAAATGCAAATCAAAACTACAATGAGGTATCACCACACACCAGTCAGAATGGCCATCATCAAAAAATCTACTAACAGTAAATGCTGGAGAGGGTGTGGAGAAAAGGGAACCCTCTTGCACTGTTGGTGGGAATGTAAGTTGAGCCAGCCACTATGGGGAACAGTATGGAGGTTCCTTAAAAAACTAAAAATAGAACTACCATATGACTCAGCAATCCCACTACTGGGCGTATACCCTGAGAAAACCATAATTCTAAACGAGTCATGTACCACAATGTTCATTGCAGCACTATTTACAATAGCCAGGACATGGAAGCAACCTAAGTGTCCATCAACAGATGAATGGATAAAGAAGATGTGGCACATATATACAATGGAACATTACTCAGCCATAAAAAGAAACGAAATTGAGTTATTTGTAGTGAGGTGGATGGGCTTATAGACTCTCATATAGAGTGAAGTAAATCAGAAAGAAAAAAAAAATACCGTATGCTAACATATATATATATGGAATCTAAAAAAAAAAAGTGGTTACACAGAACCTAGGGGCAGGACAGGAATAAAGACGCAGACATAGAGAATGGACTTGAGGACACGGGGACGGGGAAGAAGGGTAAGTTGGGATGAAGTGAGAGAATAACATTGACCTATATACACTACCAAATGTAAAATAGCTAGCTAGTGGGAAGCAGCTGCATAGCACAGGGAGATCAGCTCGGTGCTTTGTGTCCCCATAGAGGGGTGGGATATGGAGGATGGGAGGGAGACGCAAGAGGGAGGGGATATGGTGACATATGTATACACATAGCTGATTCACTGATTCACTTTCTTATACAGCAGGAACTAACACATCATTGTAAAGCAACTGTACTCCAATAAAGATGGTAAAAAAAAACATATTTATGACCAGTAGGACAGGATATACTACACTTATTATTCCTTATTATTCTGTCTCAACTGTATCTAGGTCTTCTCATTTTTACAAGACAGAATTTTCTAGCCCCCTTATATTTTCTTTCTTTTCTTTTTTCTTTTTTTTGACACACCATATGGCATGTGGGATCTTAGTTCCCCGACCAGAGACCTGACCCATGCCCCCTGCTGTGGAAGCGAGGAGTCCTAACCACTGGACCACCAGGGAATTTCCTAGCCCCCTTATGTTTCAGTGAGGCCATATGACTATTTCTGGCCAATGAGATGTGAGAGGAAATGGCACAGGTCACTTCTGGGTCACAGCATTTAATTGCTGGTGCAAGACTGCCCAGATTTCACTTTTCCCCACCTGCATGATTCTGGAAGCATGTCTCAAGATGGGGCCTGAAGTGACTAAGACAGAGTCCCTTACCAACTTTTGTTGGACATTCAGCATGAGTGAGAATTAAACTTTTATTTTACTAGGACTCCAAGATTTGGGAGGTTGTGCTATCACAGCATAGCCCAGCCTCTCCTGACTGATAAATCTACAAACAGCAAAAGGGACTTGTAATTCCACATTATCTGTCTTCCCTGACTTATATAATGACACAGTCTTTTCACACATTAATAAGTGGAGATAGCTCATCCTGGACACATAGTTGAAGGCTTCCTACCGTAACATGCAATATGTTAAATAGTCAATACAGTATCTTTTGGTATATTTTAAAGAAAACTTCCCTCCTGTAAAATCTGTAAAACTCTGGAAATAAGCAGGAGAGCCAGTGCTTGATTTCTGAGTTTTAGTCAGATCACACAGAGGTGGAATGGTGAAAGGAACCCAAAGAAAAAGCATAATTTTCTAGGATAAGTAACATTTATCAAAACCATTGTGAAAATTTAAGATCAGATGAAATTATCTATTTTACTGCCTGAGGAAGGCCCCCAAAAGGAACAAAAGTGACTGTTTCCAACTTTGTCCTAAATATTAGGAAAAAATTATTTCTCATTGGCAGTCTACCATAGACTAAATATAACATCCTCTGTGCTAATGAGACTGTACCAATCGAAATTAAATGAGGTTCTTTAAATTTTTCTTTTTAATATATTTTTTTAATTAATTTGTTATTTTTGGCTGTGTTGGGTCTTTGTTGCTGCACGTGGGCTTTCTCTAGTTGCAGCGAGAGGGAGCTACTCTTCGTTGCAGTGCACAGGCTTCTCACTGCGGTGGCTTGTCTTTGTTGAGGAGCATAGGCTCTAGGTGTGCGGCAGGCTTCAGTAGATGTGGCTCGCAGGCTGAAGAGCGCAGGCTCAGTACTTGTGGAACACGGGCCCAGCTGCTCCGCGGCATGTGGGATCCTCCCGGCCCAGGGTTCAAACCTGTGTCCCCTGTACCGGCAGGCAGATTCCCAACCACTGCACCACCAGGGAAGCCCCATAGGCAACATTTCTTATTCCAAAGAGAAATGTGAGAGAAATGAGTATTTCTGATGGTAGTATAACAACTTGAAAACCTAAAAATAAAATATCAGAAGCAAAACCAAGCCTTTTTTCTTTTTAGCTTTTCCCTTTATTTTAGATGGCAGGCAGCACTGGATAGGTCTAGGTTTAGAATCTTTTCTAAAGGCATATCGTTTCTGCCAGCATTTTAATATGAATTTAATTCTGCTGTTGGCTCAGAGCATGACAGAATGAGCCAACATGGCAGGCAGACAACTGGATCACTTATGGTTCATTTCAATGGACATGGCACTCAGCCACAAAATTTATGAACAAAACTGTTTTAATATAGTTATTGCATTTGTAAACATTCAGCACAGGTGGAAACAGAGAATTCAAAAACAGAAATATATTTTGTATCTAAGAATAAACAAACACTAAAGAATTAAATTTTTCATTTTTTTTAAGGAAAGGGATATTCATTTTTGTCAAGCATTAACAGTGATTTGGGTTCAAAAGCTCTAATTTTCATAGGATTCCATGAGTCTATTCTTCAAAGTATGCTATGTAAGGTTGCCCAAGGGAACACTTGACTGCCTCGACTTCTCCACCTCCATTTTTCTCCCGTTGAAAGTGAATGTTAATAAAATCCTGTACAGTTTCTTCATCTATTATCTGAAGGTCTTCCAGTCCTGTCAGAAGCACCGTCTTCTTAGATACTCCTGAAAATACCTAAGAATCAAAATAAAAAGATAAATAGAAATTTTTCTAAGCGCTTTGAATTACAAAACTTTACATTTATAAGCTCTGCTTAATATTTTGGATGTTATCTTGAGAGAGACAACGGGCCTCAGGAAGATTTTCAAGCAAGAGAATATCAGAGTTGGATCTGAGTTTCAGAAAGATAACTCTGGTGGCATTGTGACAAATAGAGGAAAGGAGGGCAACTCTATGGACAGAGAGACCAGTTAGAGAGGTAGTGAGAGGTGGAAGTGACAAGATCAAGTAATGAAATGAATGCTGGAGGGGAAGCGAAACCAAGAGTTAGGCATGAGTTCTAGCTTTCAGGATGGCAGGCTAGGTTAATTAATAAGATTCAAACGGAAACAGAATCACAACTTTTTATTTTTTGTGGGGTGGGGCCGGGCAATAAGTTTCCAAAATGAAAGAAGAGAGATGACTTTACCTGAAACTTTTTCATGTATGTTTCTGTGTACGGAGAAACAGTAACTCTCTGGCAGTTTTGATTTATATAAAGAGGATAGTCTTTTATTTTCAAAATCTTGTCAGCAACTAGAAGTAAATTTTTAAAAATTATTTTCTCCTTTATATCAAACATTTTTTAACCAAAGTTAAGACCTCCTTCAAACAGAATGTCAGAGTAAACAGTGGCTTGAGGGATTAATTTTTAAGAAACTCTACAGTCCACAATAAAGAATTCACAGTACATAATTTTAAAAAACATAAGACCAAATGATAATGAGATTTAAATAGCTCCATCTGTCTTAAACTATCAGTCAATCAATGCACAGTGAGCTGTGATGTCCCCAGATAGACCTACCTTGAGCTACATAAAATGTGATAACCATTTGCAAAAAATAACCCAGGCATCCTAACAAAACCCAGTGTTTCCCAATCTCTCAAGAAGTATACATGCAAATTACGATTAGAATACTCTCTCTCTCTCTTTCTGTGCACATATATATATATATACACATACCTACATATAGCAAATTACTATATTACTATTATATATATAAAATTACTTAATTGTCCTGTAACTAATACATGACATTCAATAAACCTGTATAATGATGTTAATCAAAGGTGGAGGGGTGCTGAATGTCATCTAAAAAAAGTGAAGGCAAATAACAAAAATTCATCAATTTTCTCCAACACAAAAAATAACCAGATTTATTTTTAGCAGCTTTTTTTTTCTCTTAGAGGGAAAAAAGGTAATATGTCAAGATTGCATAGAGTTTAACAGAAACAGTTCGTAAGAATATCCAATCACTTTTTTTCTCCTCTCACCAGTCCACCTTGAATCAGCAATATAGTACAGTGGTTAAGAGTGTAGATCCTTGCTGGCAAGGATGTGGAGAAACTGGAACCCTGGTACATTGCTGGTAGGAATGTAAAGGTGTAGCCACTGTGGAAAACAGTATGGCGGTTCCTCAAGCATTAAACACAGAATTACCATATTATCCAGCAATTCCAGAAGGATCTGGAAAGACATTCACCTAACCATAACTAGCCACATAGCAGGAGAAAGGGAAGCTTGAAAATTTAAGGAAATGTCTCAATTTTTATTAAATTAATGTTGTTCTCTATTATTTCAATTTTCTTTAAAAAGCATGTACTACTTTATTATGAAAAAACTTAAATCAGTCAACGGTTTTTAATTGTATATTTGGACTTCTATCATATGTGCAAACCCTGGAGAAGCCCTAAGAACTAGATTAACTAGAGGAAGAGATTTTTACATTGAGAATCATTTGAACATATTAACAAAAGAACTTGGAGAATCTTCTATTTTTCATTATAAGAATATAAACCTCCCTAAGATGATTTGGTAAAAGTCCATTTCTACCTAAAAAAGGAACAGCTGTTCTATTACCCCCTTTTCTTCCAGGAATCGATTACCTCCACCTGAGATCCTTGTCAATAGTAATAAGTGAGATGAAGAGACAGTTTTATATATGTATTTTTTCAGAATGTTTCTCTGCCACACACCCACTGTGCGATCTTGGGTAAGCTGCTTACCTTGAGTACGCCTTAGTTTCCTCATCAATAAAATGAGTATAACACCTACATCCAGAGCTGTGCTATGGATCTGAGCAGATATATGTATAAAACACCAAAGACTCCATGCCTGGCACGTGATAAGAATGCACTAAGATGTAGGTACTTGTTATCTGTAATCCTATCATTCTCAGTAGCACTCAGCGAAATCATTTTCAGGACTCTACCATTTCATAAGGTTAAAAAAAAAATCCCCTGTTATTATGCTGTCTAATAAATTCCAAATAAAAGCAGTAGAAAGGGATACTTTCAGACCTGGCAGAACGTAATTTAAATGCTAGAGTACTGTCTAACTCTCAGTCTGGGAATACCTCCACTTTCCACAAACGTGATGACGGCGCTCCGGGACTGCCTGTCGTACTCCACGCAGTCCACTTCTCCGCCTCCGTTGCGGGACTTACAAAAACTCAGTTCTAGCTTGTCTCTCATCTGACTTTCAGGCAGTTCATCAGGAATGTCAGTAACATGGATCTTCATTTTAGACACTTCTACGTGAACCTGGGAAATCGGTTCACGTTCAGAAATATGGATGAGAAAAGTGTCCGTGTTTAACAAATTCTGAAACGCTTTAATCACCATGTTACCTGGAATCTGACTCCTGAGTTTAATGGAACCGGGCTGGCCATAACCTTCACATTTACATCCTGTATCTGCACATGATGGTGCCCCATTCTGATCACATTTTGGGCAACTGAAAAATAATTTGGGAAGTATTAATTTCCAATATTTCAATACATTTTTACATGTTTGGTTTAACAACAAATAATCCTGAATATTTTAAATTTTCTTTAATTTTAAGGGATCTAATTTTTACATTTTTCTTAGGATTTCTAAGTGATGGTCATCTTGCCACCATAGTAGGATATATTAATGTCAAAATACATCAGCAAAAAATTACAATGTAGAAATTCTCAACAAGTTCTAGATTAATCCCTTAAGAGATAAGCCCGATGATCCTTCAGAAATTCATATATTACTTCAGTACAGCCACACACCCTTCCTTTCCACTGTAGACAGAATTATCAGAGAACTCCCTTAGTACATTAAAGCTCAGCCAGAAATTTCTTCCATGTTGAGTAAGCTAGGAAAACTTTTTAGGTCAGTGTCGTTCTGACAATTAATCTTATTTATCATTTGTCACTGCTCCTTAATATGTTACAAGCAACAAAGAAATAAATATTTGTTCTTGTCTCTGTCTTTCCCCAGGATTACATATTAAAGACCACAAAGACTTGAATACAAAAGAGTGAGTCTTTTTTTTTTTTTTTTGGTCATATTTAATGAAGAATTCTACTTTCCTTAAAATGCTCTTGAGATCATTCATTAAAAAGTCAATAGTCTTGATATACTGATCACAAAACTATCTAGTCTAATTTAGCCATGCAAATGGGAAAGGCTTAGTATTATAATTATGCCAAACATCATTAGAAATCCAATAGCAACTATATGACAGTTTAAAATGAATGTGCGGGGAATTCCCTAGTGGTCCAGTGGTTAGGACTCGGTGCTCTCACTGCTGTGGGCCTGGGTTTCAATCCCTGGTCGGAGAACTAAGACACGGCCAAAAATAAATAAATAAATAAGAATAATAAAAAAACAAAATAAAATGCATGTGGGTATGTGTTTATTTTTAATTGTGTGACATAAGAGTTTATAACCCTTCAGTTGTTGATATTTGGAACTGCTTACTCTAATATGTCAGAAAGACTAGACACAAATTAGTCTCGGTCTTATAAACCTCACATGTGTTTATAACAACCAGACAGCACACCACAGCTGGAGGAAGAGAGAAACAAGGCTAGAAAACAGGGCGTTTTCATGTGGGAATTCAGACTCATTGTACCATGATATGGCTCTATAACTTGAATTACAGCTTTTTGTTGTTGTTATTGACAACAGGCAACAATAACAGAGATTATCAACTGTAAGTAATACTTAGATGATGATCTTTCCCTCCCAATGCCCACCCCTCCCCCACCCCCCAAACCTCCAACATCTGGTGATCTGACACAGCTGAGAGGGCCTACTTGTGTTTCAACTTCTGTGACTGTCAAAAGCCAACTCCTGTTTAATTGTGTAGAAACCCAAAGTTGTCCAGAAGAGCAGGACCTCAGAGCCATGCCAAGGGTGGAAGCAGTGATGCAGCTGTTTCTGAAGAAAATCCTGTTCCCAGCATACCCAGGTAATTCCTATGCAGAATCCTTGCTTCCCAAATCCTCACTTCCATCCTTCAGTTATATCTCAATTACCACTGCCAACTGCCAACTGCCAACAGGGCTCTTGGCCTCCCCCTTCACCCTCAGCTGCAGGGGCGGACACAGGGTGGACAAAGCGTATGTGCATATAGTGACCTGCCAGAATGCCTTTCTATTTATTTTCAGGCTATAGAAACAAACCGGGTGCCAAGGAGACATGAGTTATAATCATAGATTCCCAGAATCTGAACACTGGAAGGGCTTGTGAAGACCATCTGACCCCACCCATAACTTAATCTAACTTGGAAAATATGAGAACAAAAAGCCCAGATGGTGGCCTGCTCAGAGGAATGTTGGTACAGTAGAACGTACAAGGGTACTTGAGGTTTGGCTCTCAGCTCTGCAATTTATCACCTGTATGGACCTTAAGCAAGTTCCTTATCTTAGGTAAGCTTCCGTTTCTTTAGCTGAAAAATTCCTAACATGTAGCAATAATGACAGCTAACATTTATTAAGTGTTTATTAGATATCAGACACTGTGCTAAGTATTTTTCAACATTTCTCATTTAATACTCAAAGCATGGGCTTCCCTGGTGGTGCAGAGGTTGAGAGTCCACCTGCCGATTCAGGGGACACGGGTTCGTGCCCCGGTCCAGGAGGATCCCACGTGCCGTGGAACGGCGGGCCCGGTGAGCCATGGCCGCTGAGCCTGAGCGTCCGGAGCCTGTACTCCGCGACGGGAGAGGCCACAACAGTGAGAGGCCCGCGTACTGTGCCCCGGTCTGGGAAGATCCCACATGCCGCGGAGCGGGTGGTCCCGTGAGCCATGGCCGCTGAGCCTGCACATCTGGAGCCTGTGCTCCGCAACGGGAGAGGCCACAACAGTGAGAGGCCCGCGTACATCAAAAAAAAAAAAAAAACTCAAAGCAACCCCCTGAGGTAGGTACTGCCACAAAACATGTCATAAAAAAATTGAGATTTATAAAGAACCCAACCAAATTACACTTCTAGAAAGGGGCACAGCTGGCACTCAAAGCCAGATTCTCCTCATTAAGGTGCCCCCAGATCTCAAGAGGGTCCCACACCACGGCGGACTTGGCAAACATCAGGTCCCACCCCCAAATCTCTGACTCCAGGGCTCTTGCCATTCACAGGTCTTGTGCACTTAGGTAAATCACTTAAACACCTGAGAATCTGTTTTCTTAGTTATAAAATGTAAATAGTAACTCTCTATCTTATTTCTTTCATGGATTCATGTGAGTATACAATGAGATAATGTCTGTGAGAACTCTCCGAGAACGATGTAGAGCTTTACGACCTTGAAACATTATCACTAGTATTATCACTTGCAGGTAGCAGTTGCAGTAGAAAGGCATTGGTATTGGACATCACAACACCTGGGCTTGAGTCCCAGCATTGTCACGTCCTGAATGAGTGATCATGTTCAAGTCACTCAATGTCTGAGAGTCAGTTTTCTCATCTGTAAAATGGGGATAATCATACCTACCTCAGGGTGTCACTATGAGGATGAGATGAAATGATAAATGTAAAAATTGTAAAGCAATGGCCAAATATCTATAAAAACTCTTTGAAAGTCCCAGTGCTTTCCAAAGGTGACATGGTCAAATTTTTGAACATGAGTCATACCTTCTTCTTTTTCAAAGGTGATAAGTGCTTGTCCTTTTTGTAGCTCATAAGGAACTTTTGAGCTCACTTGACACGAATAGGAGATATTTGAAAACTGGCTGTCAGTCTCAGGATTCTCTACAGCTGTGAACTTTATCTTTGTTTCGGGAATATCCTCGTTAATCTAATTCAAACAGAAATGTTTGATTAAAATCAAGACAAGAAATAACTTAAGTCCTTCCAATGATAATGTGATCATCCAATAATTCATTCTCCACTGACTTCAGAGCCCCACGGAATACTGAGCGTGGTCTTATTTAATATCTTTAGTAATTGCTTCTTCCCAGGGAAGTACTCAGTAATATAGTCAGATGCTGATCCTTCAATATTATTTCACAGATGAAATTGTAAATATATAATCTCTCACTTTTTCAAAGTGTTTAAACTGGTCAATATTGTGTGGTGTTTGAGTGTAAAGCCTACATCATTCCTGTAGAAAAATACTCTTTAAACAACTGTGCCAATAATAAGCTATCTCACAAAGAAATCATTGCACAGTATATTTACCCTCACTGCAAAGAGGTATGAAATAGAGTCAGGTGTATATGGTTATTTTGATGGCAAACTCAGATAACTTCATCCAAAAAGAAAGACTCCTGAATTCAATGACTTAAAATTTATCAAATTTAAATTCCCCCTTCCTCAACACCTGCCCATCAACTTTTTAACCATTACCCCAACTCAGGTTTATAAAAATGTGAAGGGACACTACCAGCAAGATCTGTAATCTGGAGGACAAAGTTAAGGGGTTATACTTAGCTGCTTAAAATCACTGGGATGAACAGTCAGTACAACCACACATAAATGCACAAATGAATTGAGTGTTTGCATTTCTATTTCCCATGGTTATTTTACATGTTGCAAGAAAAGGTTTTATCACAAAGACATTAGAAAGAAATATCAAGTGAGTCATTTGATCTAATCTGACATTTATTCTACATGTAACTTTGGTAGAATTTCTGATTACCATAACTCTGATTTCAAAACGATCTGCAGTGTCTTGAGAAAAGGCAGAGTGTTTCCCAATAATGTAGAAACATCCAGTACACCCTGAGAAGTCAAGAGCTTTCCGGAGTGAGAGTGAGAATGCCTGCTTCTAGTCCTGAGTAGACCGTGGCAGGGAGCAATTCACTTATGCTCTCTAGACCCCAGTTTCAGTCCTCTGTGAAGTGAATCAACTGAGCTGGCTGGGTTCCCGAGGCCCTTTGAGTTGTAGGACTAAATGATCTGGCTCCAGCCTGAGAAGCATCCAGAATCTTAACAGAGACTTCTCTAAATCTCACAAACACCGGAAGCTTCACTTCTTGATATTCAACATCCTATCCCCCATTTCAGAAACAAAGAGTGACAATGCTTTAAGCATTTAAATTGTTTAAAGTATTTTTTTTAACAACCTGGGTTGTTATGAAGAAAAAAGGAGTGAAAGCTATGTCTAACTCAAACACAGGAGAAATTAAGAAAGAATTTAAATGGTGAAGATACTCATCCAATTTCTTTTTAACTGTGAAACTCACTTAAATTACTTGGATGAGGAGAACAATAAAAGAACTTGGTGAGAAGACCAAGAATTTGATCCAAAAGTGATTGATAATGACCATCACTTGGGGGTAGTTTTGGATTAACATATACATGAATATTAAAACATGTATTAGCATAAGTGTGCAGCAAGATGAAATTCTACAGTGATCACACACCTGTGACCAGCGCCCAGATTAATAATCAGAACAAGACCAACACCCCAGAAGCCCTCTTGGGTTCCCTTCCAGTTCCTACCTGCCTCTAAGAGTAACCACCATACTAACTTCTAACATTGTGTTTTCATGCTCTATTTCAATGGAAGCGTATGGTGTGCCCTGTTTCTCCTTTTCTGGCTCAGCATTGTGTTTATGAAATTCATCGATGTTATTGCATACAGTTGTAGCCTGTTCATTCTCATTGTTGTGTAGTAGTCCACTGTGTGAATACACCCTAATTTATTAATTCATCCTACTGCTCTCAGTCTGGGGCTGTTGCAAACAGTGGTGCCATGGATGACCATAATGTTTTAGATATGAATTGTGTATCGATAAATTGCTTTTCCTGAAAAATGGGGTCTGTGAAAAATGAGATACATAAAATAATTAAAGAAGTACCTGGGAGTTCCTGGTTGTCGCTTGCAACTCAGCTTCAAGCTTTTGGATCTCCTCCTTTAACTGAGTATTTTCCTTTTCAATTTCACTAATTAATTTCTAAAAATAAAAAGGAAATAAAATAACACCTAAAATTTAAACAGTCCCGACCTCATTTTTCTTCTCTTTTCTTAATATTTATTTATTTTGGCTGCACAAAGTCTTAGTTGTGGCACACGGGATCGTTGTGGCACACGGGATCTTTGTGGCAGCATGTGGGATCTTTAGTTGCGGCATGTGGGCTTCTTAGTTGTGGCATGTGGACTTGTTAGTTGTGCATGCACGTGGGAGCAAGTTCCCCGACCAGGGATGGAACCCGGGTCCCCTGCATTGGGAGCGTGGAGTCTTACCCACTAGACCACCAGGGAAGTCCCAGCCCCGACCTCATTTTTCTAATTAATTAAAGAAGCAAAATTTCTCTCACTTTGAACAAGGCAAAGAAAGACATTAGACAGTCTCAAAATAAATATGATCACGTGAATAATACCTTTGTCAAATGTTTTACATCATCACCTGTCGACTTTCTTACCACTGCCAAGGATTATTATCCCTATTATACAAAAAAGGAAACCACTTTTCACACTAAACCAAAGTCACAGAAATGTTTTTAGTAGAGCAAGGATTGATACTCCTGTCTTCTGGATCTTAGTTCAGTGCTCTGTCAATTCCCTCTTAATTATTTGTGACTCCAATATGACTTTTAAGTTGCACCGTAACTGTGGACATATGTTACTCTGGGGCAATTTTTAAATATTTTTTTCTGTGATTCCCACAGTATAGCTGCCTTGACATGCCAGACAGATGGCCTTGAGTAAGTGGTTTAACTACCTGAGCCTCCATTTCCTCTTAGGTCTAATTGGATAATTGCTAACGAAGCTCTTAACTTCTAGGTGCAAATCAAAGAAATGAGAGAGGAAGTGAAAAAGCAGCTAACATTGTAAGCTGTGTAAGAGAAAGAAAAGAAATATGATTCTTCTTGTCAGTCTTGAATAATAGAGGTAAAAAAAACTGAAAACCCTAATATTCTTCCAAATTCAACATAATGTTGGACGAAGACATATGAAACATGCCTCACTGCAAAACTAATAGATGTAAGTTAATTTTTAATAGTACTCAGTAATTTTTCCTTTTTACCTGGTTTTGTTCATCTTTCATAAATTCTTCAGCTGGCCCATACTCCTTAAGAACTTGTTTTTTGTTATCTTCATCAGTTGCCATGATTCCCTAATTACTATAAAAAGTAAATACTTTAAAAATAGTACAAACACACAAATTCAAGAAGAAAAAATAACTTTTACCCTCTTACAGAAGAAACATCTCTTCTTTGCTATATGTTTTTTCCTATCACCGGTCTTTATTATCATGTGGATTATATCCAAAGTCTTTATTTCAAATAACTTTCACACCTATAAACATATAAAAAGGTTCTAAAAATTCTTTGCTTTTCAACACCGTAAGATAAAATAATAGGTATTAACATTCCTTTGTAGTTCTCATTTCAATCATAATATGATGCTCCATTTTAAAAGACTATTATTTTGGTCTTCTAGACTTTTTCAAAGGTTTTTATTTAAATATTTAATTCTCCCTATTATACTCCCCAAATGTAATGGAGTAAAAAGACCTCCAAACACCGTTCCTCTATGCGTACAGGGGTTTTCACAATCCCTCCCGAGTTCATACACTTGGACAAGAAAAAAACTTCATCTTTATTTCTAATAACCTCTGATTGAAACTTAGCATTCTCTTCAAATATGAATATAGGCAACAAGCCACACAGTATTTGCAGCCCTGTGACAAAAGTCACCAAGACGGTACAGGTATTTTCATAAAATATTTTAACTCTTCCAGATATCCTGAAACATTGTGTTTACCCTGCTTCAAAATTATGATAGTTATTAAACTCACAACTAGGTCTTATAATAAACTGTAGTATATTGATATATATTACTATATTAAATATTTTCTTTTTGAATAACCTGATAATCATATTTCAGTATAATTGGTTTCCTTTATAATTCTATGTATTTTGTTTTATACAACTTAAAACCTTTTTTATTTTGAGAAAGGCCCACAAGCTTTTTCAGACTGGTACCAAAAAAGTTAAGAAACCTTGCCTGTATATCAATTTACTAAGATGGAGTTATCCCAGATCAAATATGACACAAGGATTATCATAACAGTTTTTATTGATTTAGAAGCACATTAATAATGTGTCTGTTAACACAATCTTCCAAGATTTCAAGTAGCTAAATTCTCACTATTCCTATAGAAGAAACAGAAAAGACATGTATTCTTCTCTAAAAATAAAATAGAAGACTAGCAAAAAATTAGTCATAGCTTAGTTTACTCAGTGTGGACACAAGCAGTGTCCAAAAAAAGGGGTCATATGGTAGTTCTACTTTTAACTTTTTGAGGATCCTCCATACTGTTCTCCTTAGCGGCTGCACCAATTTACATTCCCACCAACAGTGCACAGGGGTTCCCTTTTCTCCACACCCTCTCCAGTATTTGTTACCTCTTGTCTTTTTCATGATGCCCATTCTAATAGATGTGAAGTGGTATCTCATTGGGTTTTTTTTTTTTTTTTTTTTCGGT